GGACTTTGTCCCTACAGTCCTGGGCCCTTTCTACTGGTAAATCTGATACATACCCATGCCAGAGGATGGACAGCGGCTGACATGGCCAAAGCAGCGAAAGCACCAAGACTCACAGAAGGCTGCCGATGTCAAGGCGATGGGAGAGGCAGAAGATTTTGTACTGGAAGCATGAGGGATTAGGCTGAATGTTCAAGGGAAACACAACCACATTCCCAGTTAGGGGAGCAGCCCTGGTCCAGAGGTAGGGGTCTGAATCCATCCAAAAAGACCTCATCTCTCACAGCATTTCAAAACCAGAAGGAAATGCAATGACTGTTTTGTAGACCAACCCTATCAGGCTATAGATTAGAGTGTAAAGTTCCAAGACAGTTAAACACGTGCCTAAGGTCACAGAGTAAGCCAGTGAAAAAGAGTAATGTCTGTTGCAGCTAAGCCTGAGATTCTCCTCAGATCACTCATAACATTCTTACAGAGTCACAGAATTTAAACAAGAGATGGATGGCGGTCACGGCTGCCTAACGAGGTACCTGTACGTAATGCCACTCAACTGAATGCTTAAACATGGGTAAAATGGTAGATTTTACGTTATGTATATTTTACTACAACTGAACAGTACCAGAAACGAAGCCTCTGGTGGCAGTGATTCTGGTCCCTGAGTGAGCTTCCTCTCTAGGTCTGCCTGTCGACAAGCACCTGTCCTTCAGGGCCAACTCCAATGGCAGCTTGCAGGACAGAAGTGATCCGTCCCCTTCTCGGGAGCTCCTGACACACCTTACCATCCACACAGGACCCCCTTGAGAAGGCAGAGACAAGGCTCTTATGCTTTACCAGCTCCTACAGCCTGTGATAATCCTGGCATTTCCAGTATTTGGAGGATAAATGCTCCTGTACACAGCCATGCTGTACATTTATTTGTGTTCTATGCTCCACAAAGATTAAAAAAGAAACCGCTGCCCACAACCGACTGTGTGAGTCCGTAACACGTTAACAGTCGACGACTGGGTTGTCGTGAAGACCTCCGCTTTTCAGTTCACCCACTCCTCAGCATGCTGGGTGCACGGAGGCCACTCCGCAGATAGCTGCCACTGTCATCTGAGAGGCTGTGAGCTCCACACAACAACTCTTAAGGTGTGAGACACAGTATCCTAACCCGTATACAGAAAATAATCCCATTCGAACATCCGCGACAGAGCCATACAAAAACAGATGCCCTGCGGGGACTGCAGTAAAGAGTGTGGGTGTAAACGGTTTCATACGCAGTCCTAATGAACTGCACTTTTTGAACATCCAGGACATGCATTCTTGCCACTGTTAATTCTCTTATTTTAAATAGATCAGTTAAGGGACTGGAATGACAAGAAATGTTTCATTAATTCCACTCATTAATTCTATTAATGAACTGAAATTCGTTAATTTCATTAAATCCAAATAGAGAAATAAGGAGATACTTAAAATTTTAAATTATGTTTGGATTAGTCTTGAACTTTAAGTAATGTTATATGGCTGGATAAGGAGAGGTCAGCCTTAGAGGCAAAAAACCTACAGCCACTGGGTTTCTTGGGTTCCCACCTCTGCAACAGTGCTTTAGGTCCCGCAGGGCACAGACAACCCTTGTGTCCACCAGGTGGCAGCACATCTTTATCTCCTGATGAGAGGACCAAAAAGGCAATGCCCGCTCATTCAGCTCAGCAAGGACAGATGTTCCTGCTAAATGATGGGCAGTGTTCAAACACCTCATGCTCTGCAAACACTGTAAACAAGGTTAATAGGTAAAACAGGTTTGGAGCAGACTACTCAAAATCTATGCAACTTTGTAACCAGGGTACTAACAATCCAAACAGAAATACTAGCACAATTTAAAAGACATGTTAAATTCCTTCAAGATTGTTTATAAATTCTTAAAGACTACAAACCATGCTGTAGAAAGCAAAGGATAAAAGTAAGGGGAGGCTGAGGCTGCTGAGGGCAGAATGAGCAGGAACCGTCACAATACGCATTTTCAGGACAGAGCCGGTGACCAAACCAGCCCAGGGAGGGAGCTGGTCTGCAGGCCTGCAGGGTTCCGCTGAGTCAGTGAACACTGTAGCACTCGGCAGTACAAAATATTAACATTCTGGGGAAAAGTGAGGAAGGAGAACGCCACGTCCTCCTGCCAGCCAATGTGTGTGGGAGACAGAACTCACGGAAGTGGGCTACTCACCCGCAGTTAGATAGGCATAATAGCACTGCGACCACCTGGACTCGTTTTTTAGCCTCTCAAAGGAATCAAATGCATCCTTGAAGTTCAGCTCTATCATGCTGCACCAACCTATGAAAGAAATATTTTTAGTAGGTGACCCTAAAGTAGTGATTTATACCCCATCTTTAAGCCAGGAATCTGGTAACTGCTGATTATCTTTGAGTGTCGCATGTATACTACCTGAAAACCTAAAGATGATCTTTTGTCACTTAAATATTTCCAGTGTGACATTTTGAGTCAGACAAGGCACTTCTGATTTCATAACCCATTAAGCAGCAGAGAAGCGGTATAGCGGGGGGCACCTGGGGGCGCAGTCAGTTGAGCGTCCAACCCTTGGTTTCAGCCCAGGTCGTGATCTCAGGGTTGTGAGATGGAGCTCCGCCTTGGCCTGTGCTTAAGCCTCTCTCCCTCACCCTCTGCCCCCCCCCAAATAATTTTTTTAAAGCAGTATAGAGGGACATGAAGATTTCTATGAAAACACTCTAATTCGTATCCTACACTCCAGTTTGGGTTGTGAGATTAATCTAAGCCCAGCAGTGCTTCTCCAAAAGCGGCCCCAGGCACAGAAAAAGAAGCAGTATCATTAGACTGCATATAGCGACTACCTCAAAAAGTCTTCAAGCACTGACATGGCTCCTTAATGATTACTATTAATTCTCAAACCCTTGTGAGGAGTGGAGACAAGCCGGTCAAAAATTAAGTACTTGCCCACCTTCCCTCTGCAGGTTGGCAGCAGAGCTGAGAAAGAACCCTATCTTTCCTGGATCAAAACACCATGAGACAGGCATTCTGGCAGCTGCAAAAATGCGAGGAATTCTATCCTTGGTTTCAGAAATGTACCTTCCCTTGCCTGAGCCCCTCCATGTGCCAAGCCCTGAGCCAGGCACCTGGTATAACTCTAATTCTACTAGGGGCTTCCCGAGGTGGCAGATGGTATCCTCATTTTACCAAGGAGAAATGCTAAGGCATGGAGAGGTAGGTGACTTGCCCAAGGCCACAGAGCTAGGAAGAGAAAAGGGCCAAGGAGTGAAGGCCATTGCTCTCTCCTGTCACAATATCCCCCCCATCATAAATTCTGGTATCTTGTGTCATCTTGGATCTGCCATTGAAGTACAAGGATGAGAGGGATCCACACTTCTAGAAAATCCAGTGTCAAATTCTATGGGATAGGATATGAAGTCGACATGGCTTCCAGTAAAAATTGTGCCTAATCATGTCCATCCTAGAAGATGGGAGTTAAATGCAAAGTAGGGGAGAAGGTGGCACTGAATATGAATAAGAAGCCTGAGTTAGGATTGTGCTACTTTTTCTTGGGTTAACTTTCCTAAGCCTTGGAGGTTAGGCTTCGATGATCTCCAAGCCTCCTTCAGGTCTAACCCTCCATTCTGCCAGACCTTGAAATGGTGCACCAAGAAAGGCCATCATAACCACTTTGCAATACATGTACTTATCAAATCATTATGTCATACAACTTAAACTAATGCATTATATGTCAATTATATATCAGCAAAAGTGGGGGGAAAAAAGGCAGCAGGATCTTAAGAACAAAAAAAAGCCCACCAAATCTAGGTGTTAATTCAAATTCTTCGAAATACATTCCATCCTGTTATGGCTACTACCCAGAGCTCCAGCGGGATGGATGACATAATATATTTTCCATTGGATTACACTTCAGCTCTTTTCCCTAAACCATAAGAAGTGCTTAAAACATTATTTTACTGGGAAGTTCCCAATCTTTTAGTTTGTACTTTTCTTTGAAGAGATTTAAAATTATCCAAGACAACAATTACGTCCACAGCATATAAGCAAGTGGCAAGCATCATAGGGTCTCAACCTGACAGATGGCAAAGGCCCCCTGAGCACTCCCCATTTCTTCTTCCCCTCTCTGCAGCGAACCTGGGAGTTCCGATTTTCCCATTGATTCCATCACTACCTCATCACTTCTCTGCTCCCTGGCTCCTTCATTCCCTTTCTAGGTACCATATGATGTGACCCTGTCTGATGTGACCCTGTCATACTGGGCTGAAACCCTAACAACATGAACCCCTTATTACATTGTGTCATGGTTGTTTCAAACCCAACTGCTGTGTTGATTTTCCTCAGCATCATAGAACAACGGCTACGGCTACGTAAAAGATTTAGGGAATTGCTAATATAACAGGACAGAATTTAGTGCAGTCAGCAAAGAAACTCATAGTAACAATTTGGGACAGGGAGGAGAAAGCTGTAAGCAAATAAATATTTCCATGTCTGCAGGAGAGGAAAAGCAGAAGGAAGGGGCTCACACATGTGGAGGGCCTTCTGTGTGCCAGGCACCCCACCTGATGCTCATTCCTACTTCATTTAAACCTCATGACCATTGAGGGCAGGCACCTCAACACTCATGGCAACCATGAGGCTTACACAACTCTTCCCAGGTCTCCGAGCTAGTTGGGGGAAGGGCTGGGATTGGGGTCCACATGCCCAACTCTCTCCCAGGCCATATTTTTCTTCCCAGGTAAACACTAGTGCAAGGGAGGGAAACATAGTTTAGATTCTAATGTGCAGTCAGATAAAGTAGTTACAAAAGTTTTAGTCCATTCCTTTAACATGACCTATTATCCTAAAATCAGAATGTTATAAAGAATAAATTCTAAAGCAGTAAGGACAATTACTGAGGTAAGTATCACCGCTTGTGCTACGGTAACAAAGTCTTATTCTCACAAAAGGTAGTAAGCATTTTACAAAGATCCAAACTGAATAGCATTAAAAAGGCAGACATGCACAAAAATGCATTAAGACTTGCGACAAGAAGCCAGCCATCCAGCTGGACATAAGCTGAATGCATTAATACCATTTCATGACAAGAAGCTGGACAGACATTTCATATTTACCAATTTCATACAGACAGACGTGTTGGATTTCTCGCTGATCTATCGCAAGCTCCAAGGCGGTATGGAAAGAAGTCAAGGCACTGTTGATTTGACACTGAAGAGAAAACGAAAACAGAGTTACTGGCTAAAATCTGTCATTAATATTATAATTATTTTCATTCCAAAGCATCTTCTTCCTTAACAGTTATTTTAAACAGATTAAAACAGCATAGAAGAGAATGATCTCAAAATTTCTGGAACATTCCAACTTGCCTCAGTTGTGAGATGAACCTTGGCACAGAGCACTTCTTTTGCTCTGGCAGGAAATTCACCCTCCTGTGTATACAACAGGCCTACCTTGGAGATAAGCATAGGTTCGGTTCCATACCGCAACAAGCGGATATTGCAATAAAGTGAGTCGGAAAAATGTTCTGGTTTCCCAGTGTACACAAAAGTTATGCTTATACTATCCCGTAGTCCATTAAGTGTGCAATAGCACTGTGTCTAAAAAAATAATGTACATACCTTAATTAAAAAAATACTTTATTCTAAAAAAATGCTAACCATTTTCTGAGCTTTCAGCAAGTTGTAATCACAGATCACCATTCACAAATATAACAGTAACAAAAAAGTTCCAAATACTGTGAGAATGACCAAACTGTGACAGAGACATGAAGTGAACAAATGCGTTGGAAAAACAGGTTGCCACAAACCTTCAATGTGTAAGAAAAAAAGCAACAAAAAACCCACCCAGTATCTGCAAAGTGCAGTAAAGTGAAGTATAATGAGACGGGGTGTGTGCGGACCCACCCCAGGCCGGAAAGAGCCCCGTCAGCGCTGAGTGAGTATGCAAAGCCTCCTTTAGGCCTTCCCTCAGCACACTCACCCCACTGTAACCCACGGACCCTGTCATACAGCCTCTAGTACGAATCTGTATCCAGAATGCTTTGTCTGATTGCTGCTGGTCCTTACATCTCCGCCACTAACACTCACTTCTGACTTTTGGGATCATCTAGCACTGTCCAGAGCCCAACAGACTCTCCAATGACTGTTCTTACTCCTGAGTAAATACATTTAGTGTTGCTTTCCACTAAAGACCCCTTTGAAAGGGTCTTTCAAAGTCTGCCAACCTCATGCCAGAGCACCTGATAGGAGTACCTAAAAAGCATCAAATTCAATCCTAAATACAGCAATGATAGGTGTTAATAAATGTAAATCCTAAATGCCCTAAAAATTGGTTACAGCCTGCTCTCGGTGATACATGCCCCGGGCCATACCCTGGCTCCACACTCAGCCCTCCCTGGGCTTCCCTATGTGCCCCCTTCTGCTGCTCCTTGGCCACCCCCTTTCCAGTGCCCCGTCTGCCTCTCCTCTCCACAGCCAGCCAGCCAGGGGCAGAAAAGATCGTAGAAGAAAGGCTACCCCACTCCTTGGCTCCTTCGGTGATGCATGGTCACTGCGTGAGGCCTCTTCAAACACCACAGACCACACAGATGAGTCAGAGAGGTCCTTAGGACATCCTGTGACTCAGGAACACCATAAGCCAAATGACTCATTAACCAAGGCCTTGGCTGGATCAATAATTGTTCATGCCCAAAGTAATGTTTCATTCTGCCAGGATGGTTCAGACGATAGCGTTCAAACCCTTGTCCCCATCCACAAAGGCTAAGAGAGGACACGCAACCCCACACCAGTGATTCCTGGTCTCAAGGAGGTTAACATCTAGTTGGAGGGACCCTCTCGGGAATGTGAGACAGGCCCCAACCCAGTCAGACGTTCACACTGGGCTATGAGCACAAAGCCACCAAGGTCCCAAAGAGGTGTAAAAAAAATTTTGTTTTTTGAATTTAAAAATCAATCCTGTATGCAGTGTTTGTGTGTGCGTGTGCACCGGTGTGTTGCAGAGCAAGCTAGCTGGACACTCATCACGCCCGCCTCTAACTTTTCTCTTTCTGGATCAACCGATTTTTCCCTGCTTCTTACATGCACTCAGTTTAGCATATCTGCACGAAACCACCATGCTACGGATTCTGCTTTGCACGCATCTCCTCAGTTTGCTAAGTTCCTGCCACTCAACTACCACACACAGAATATTTCTGGATGAGCCATCGCCACCAAGCTGTGTCCAACTGTGGGTACCTTGCATGACAATGCAATGCCACACTGCCCTTCAGAAGACCAAAAACTACTTGTGAAGGCTAATTAATGGGCAACTACTAAGTGCCTGGGACAGTAGGCTTGAGCTACAAAGACAAATCACAACAAGGCTTTAAAAGCAAGTTTAGAAAAAAAACCAAACCAAGCAATATTTGAATCAACACTGTTTCTCTTAGCCCTTTCAAAAAAAAAAAAAATGTGAGATTGGCATGTATTGGAATGGAACTGATAGGTTCCATTATCAGATGGAGAAACCAAAGTTCAAAGAGGTGAAGTGGCTTGGTCAAGGGCAACAAACTAGCAATGGGGTAGTATTCACTCTGCTCTGACTGCCTCCACAGTATGTGTCCTTCTGGCAGAGCATATACAGATATGATTAAATTAAGGGCTTTGAGATGGGGAGATTATCCTGGATTATCGGGGTAGACCCTAAATGCAATCACAAGTGTCCTGATAAGAGGCGGGCAGAGAGAGCTGATGCACGCAAGGGGGAGGCAATGGGGTCGCACAGGCAGACTGCAGACACAACCACAAGCCCAGGAACCCCCAGAGCTCACAAGAGGCAAGAAATGGACCGTCCTCCGAGCCTCCAGAGGGAGGGCCAACCCCAATCACTTTGACTTCAGCCTGTGAAACGGATTCTGGACTTTTGACTTCCAGAGTTGTTGGTGGCTATTTCAAGCCACCAAGTCTGTGATAATTTGTTCCATGGCCTTAGAAGATGAGTACAGGGTGTTACTTTCAAAGTTAAACTGTGAAGAAAAGTACGACTGTTCCTTATGTCATAAGCATTGTGACAGAACCAGAAGGTATGGAGACCATTACAGAGCTTAACGATATTATCCCAAGAGTAGTAAGTGTAACTACAAAATTAATTCTACTTCTAGCCTGATTACTCATTAAAGAATTACAATGAACAGCCATCAAACTGGTGAAAACCGATTTCTCCTTCTTTTTCACCAAATAATTTACTTTTTATTACTTTTTTTTAGAGAGAGAGGAAAGAGAGAAAGAAAGCATGCACGCAGAGGGCAAGCAGGAACGGGGGGGCAGGGGAATGGTTTGCAGAGGGAGAGGGAGAATCTCTAGCAGACTTCCCAGGGAGCATGGAGCCCAATGCAGGGCTGGATCTCATGACCCTGAGATCATGACCTAAACCAAAATCAAGAGTTGGGACACTTAACCACTGAGTCACCCAGGTGCTCCTTCACCAAAATAATTTAGAATAAAAACGACCTAATAGGAGTTTTTATGATTATAAATTATAATATCCACAACATAACAGAGAAAGAAGATTTATCTTCAATTTAATACTTGATTCACAGTGTAATTTTTTGAGAAAATACACATATGCTGGGCTGAAGAGAATACAGAAAACAGGCTAGAACGAAACAACCATGAGGCCAAGAATTGGAGGTCAAGTACCATCTAGGCTTGTGTCCCGTGAATTATGCATGGACACTCTAGATCACAAAAACTACCTAAAGTCTCAGTTTCCTCACTGGTAAAATGAGGAAATGATGTCAGCAAGCATTATCTGCTTCCAGAGGAAGCAATGGAGAACAAAAGCACAAGTCTTTGCCAAATTAAATGGAGTGTATCTGTTGCCAAATTAAAATCAGCACCATGTATAGCTACTGCTTTGTTGCCACAGAGATACAACGTGTTTTTCTAGTTTTTCAGGACACCTTTCTTGATAGCTGTATTCCTAAGTGTTTTAAGATACCTGTGGCAACTGTCCATGGGATTTGTTCCTCCATTTTATTCTGAGTGAATGCTACTGGTGTTGTCGGAAAACTCTGGATTTTTGCAAGTTGATTTTGCATATGTCACATTATACTTATGAACCCTCATGATTTTTTTAAAGCTTTTTCTCTTGGAGTTTCTGGGGAGATATTCAAATCATTTGCAAATAATGATAGTGTTGTCTCTTCCTCTATAAGAGACTTCTCTAATTGGTGAGAACCACCAGTTAAGATTCTATTAGCAAGCACCACTCGCATCCTTGCTTTATTCCCATCTTCAATGAGGATGTTCTGATGTTGCACCATTAAATACAGTTTGTGGGATGCTTTTAGTAGATGCCATCGTTACCAAACAAAGAAGTTCCCTTTCTATTTCTAATTTGCTAATAGTTTGTTTAGTTTTCAAAGTGGATTTCATTAAATACCATTTGAGCCATCTAGTGATAGGACTATGTGGTTTTATTAATTACTTCCTTAATGCAGGTTAAAACAGGAAGACATTTTCTGAGGCTGAATCATGCTCGCTTTTTTGAAATAAGCCCTACTAAGGTCATAATGTGGCATTTAAAAAATACATTGTTGGATTTGACTTGCTAATATCTATTTAGAGTTTCTAATTTCAGAATGAAGTCAACCTGTAGTTTTTTGTTCAGTGCTTTCCTCTAGGAGTTTTGGTATCAGGATAATGCCAGAACTTGCAGACTTGCAGGAAATATTTTCATATTTTCTATGCTCTGGAACTATGTAAATAACTAGTTATTATAGAGCCATACCTTTCAACCGAATAATTCATTTAAAATGTATAAAATACCGGGGTGCCTGGGTGGCTCAGTTGGTTAAGCATCTGCTAACTCTTAGTTTCAGCTCAGGTCATGATCTCAGGGAGATGAGATCAAGCCCCACATCAGGCTCCACACTCAGCATAGAGTCTGCTTGTCCCTCCCCCCACCCTGCCCCAGGCTCTCTCTCAAATAAATAAATCTATAAAATGTTTAAAACACAATTTAAATTTTTTCCTTTAATGGACATACAACATAACAAAGAATATTAAACTTTAGTTAATAGTACCAGATTTCAGTGCCAACTTCATAACCAACAGGATTTTGGACTTTGAGAAATTGTTTCATTATAAATGAAAATCTCAGGAGATATTGAAATAAATGAATTAATGCACATAAAATGCTCTTAGGGAAGGTATGTTAACTTTAAAAAT